AGTTTCATAATAAAAAATTTAGAATAACCATGTACTCACATTCTAGTACATACAGAATATAACTACCAGAGTTGCTCATTTGAGACCGTGCAAAAATCTGAAACGTCATTTATTGGAACATATGAAGTAGGTATACCAGGGTTCAAAATTTCGGAACCAAACATATTTAGGTGCTCACCTAATTTTTGAAAACTTCAGAAAAACCGAGAAGTACATCAGAAAATTTTGAACCATGATTAGTCCCTAACAACGCGTAAGATCTTCCACAATTGTTCTAGTCCTTGACGTTATTATCCACGAATGTAGTCCAAAAAAGATATGTGAAAAATTACACCCACCGAAATTTCGACAAAAAATTGAACCGTGATTAGTACTTGACAAAGCATAAGATTGACTAGATGACACGAATGGAAAAAAGGAGAAAAAAAGTGAGAGGCAAAGGGAAAAAGTGAGAAAAAATTGGACCGTGATTTTGTAGCTTTGGAAAGCTACAAAATGCGCAACTCATCACTTAGTAAGCATTAAAATTGTGTCATAGGAAGACACATAAACACACATGGAAACAAATACCAAAAAGATCATGTAAAGTGGTGAAACCCAACTATAACGCTTCAGATAGCATGCAAGTACCGGAGCTATGACTGCAGATCATGGGAGAACTTTTTTGAACAAGCATTCTTTTGTAGTTTGAATGCCTATGAATTTTGAATTGAGAAACAATTCTAGCTGAACTAGATCATGTGAGAATTTTTTTGAACACGCATTCTTTTGTAGTTTGAATGCCTATGAATTTTGAATTGAGAAACAATTCTAGCTGAACCAGGGGACCACAACAGTGGGAGTCACCGGACACTGAACGTGCCACTTTAATAGAGATGAACCGGATATTTTAACTTGACTTCACCAGCTACGATAAGGACGACGACTATGACTAGGTGGCCCTCACTATGCAACTCCCAGATCTCTGACATCCCCGAGTATAACTATAACAATGATCATGATGTAACCGATGAGCTTCCAACTATGAGGGTGAAATACACAGTCCATGCCTCTTGTTGAACTATATCATGAGTTTTCCACGTCATCCATGAGAAGTCGATAACCACCACCATCAACAATGATGATTTCATATGTGTTTTTGTCGATGACTACTACACATCGACGTCTCTCCCTAGACCTACAACATCCCTGTCTTCAGTGTGGCTCGGCTGCCTATCGCCAGGACGATATGCCCGTCATTACCGGTCATGGCATCGTCTTCCCCGCTTCGCACATGGATCCGGATACGGCGGAGGGACTTTATCCTCCATGGTAGTCACCTCTTGCATCACTCACCCCCCGCATGTAGGGGTGTCCATCGAAACACAACATTTCATACCGTTAAACTGTATTTCCTTTTTTTTATATAGTTATACCGTGTTTTTGAGCCAAAAGCCTCCTTCAAACCAAAACTCGCATCCGCACCAATTTGAATTCCACCACCCAAACACAACTTGACAAAGACAATGTGGTTCACCGGTTGACTTTTGGTGCCAAGGAAGGGAAAGATAGGCGAGGTTAACGCGATTAAACGCCACAATTAAGAAAGAAGCGTGTGCGTGCTCAGTAATTACTGACTACTGAGCGTTGGGTGGTCGGAAGGCGACGGGCAACCGGCGAGGTAGGCAGTGAGCCAGCAGCCAGCCACTTCTCCCCCTCCGCTTACCCGAGCTGAGGCTTTGACCCCCAACAACCTCCCCCTCCCTCGTGCGCCTCTACTAAACCAAGGAGTCGGCAAGGAGAGGCGCGAGGTAGGCAGCAGGGGAGATCTGACTGACCAGGCAGGGATGATGGAGAGCCAGCCGCTGCAGGCCCCGACGGCCGAGTCCCACGGCGCCGGAGCCGCGGACGACCAGGCCGGAGCCGGAGCTCCCCCCGCCGTCGTAAGCACCGTCTCTTGCTCTTCTTTCCTCTTGCTTGCCTGCTCGGCGTGTGGGTGGATGAATTGAGCTAGCTCGCTCGCCGGCCGTGCCCGGACGGCTGGATCCTGGCGGTTGGTGGTGGCCGGATCTCGCCGTGCCAGCGGGAGATCTGGCCGTCCGCTCCGCCATTTCCGGCAAGTTGGTTTCTTGCGAGATCTGGGAGCGTAATCCGGGGATCTCGCGGCGTTGACCGACGGGGGCCTCGATCTGGCGCCCCGCCGGCCGAGCGGGGCAGCTCATTGCGTCTATGGCTGCTCAGATCTGCGTCTGCTGGTCAATTGTTGTTGATTTTGGTTACTTACGGGTGATGCTTTCTGTTGGCGCGCGTGCAGGTTCCCGGGAAGGAGTTCACGCGGACCTGCAAGGGCCTCGTCGTCGTGCTCATCGGCGGCTACGTGCTGCTCCAGCTCCTCCCGTCCTCCCTCAACTACCTCGCCATCATCCCCGCCAAGTGCGTAAAATTCTGAATGAATTGTTGCGGTTCTGAATTTTGTTGGGTTCAAAGTGGCAGCTGAATTTCATCTCTAATAGTTTGTTTTGTGTCTCACAGGACAATTCCCTTTGTATGGACCGTCTTCACAGCCGGTTACATTGAGCAAGTCCTCCCAGGGGTGAGTTAACTAGCTAGTAGATCTCTCGCCAATCATATTCAATTACTACTCCATCATGGCTATGAAATGGAAACTTGCAACAACTCGGCTAGCTGTGCGACTACATTCCAAATAAAGAACCATTGTATTGAAAGCATCCGTCGGTCATCACTTTCGGAAAGCACAATTCAGAACCACTTTCGAAAAGCATAATTCAGAACAAGATACCAGTATCTCGAAAGTTAGACTAGACAGCCTTTGTGTGTTCCATGCGTTATGTTAACCACTTTTATTTTGTTTTGTTTTTGTAGGCTATTGGCAGTTCCCTTGGTCTTCTCTTCTGCGGGAAGGATATCGAACCAGTCTGGGGCCGCAAGGAGTTCTTGAAGTTCATTATCTTGGTCAACTCCATCTGCGGCATCCTTGCGTTCTGCATTGCTGTCGCCCTGTACTATGTCACCGGGAAAGAGAGCTTCCTGTAAGTTTTAAGCCATCAATCTTTTATATTATGTACTCCCTCCGTCCCATAATGTAAGACATTTTTTGACACTACACTAGTATCAAAAAACGTCTTACATTATGTGACGGAGGGAGTAGTACATGTGACTTATTGCCATTTAGCATAGACATAGCGGCTCTACTTCTGTGCTTATTACTCTTCTGTTGGATAATCTTTATTATATGTACTTAGATAATTGAGGTACTACTGTACTATGATTGTTCTGGCTTATACATTAGTCTCTGAAAATGAGATGACATGACGCTGCTGGCTGAAATATTGAACATTATAACCACTAGCTAGCTAACCTTGCCATCTCACGCTATGCAGTGTAACGCCACTTTCTGGCTTCCATGGCGCCCTTGCTGGCTTTCTGGTTGGCCTGAAGCAACTCTTGCCAAACCTCGAGCTCCCCATGTGCTTTTTCTGGAAAATAAAGGCTAAGGTACATTGATAGACCACTAGTACTCCCTCCGTTCCAAAATAGATGACTCAACTTTGTACTAACTTAGTATAAAATTGAGTCATCTATTTTGGAACGGAGGGAGTACAATACAATGTTTAAGGCGGTAATTGTATTGTTGCATACTTCTTCCACGACAAGTTACAAGTTTGTTGATGTGAAGTTCTGTGTCTCTCTGTGTCTTCCTCGCTGTTGCAGTGGATGCCATTCTTTGTCATGTGCTTCTCAACTATCATGGCCTTCATTGTGCCGGATTCCATCAACTTCCTGCCGACTTTGTTGTCTGGGATGTACGTCAGCTGGCTTTACCTGAGATACTTCCAGAAGAACCCGCTGACAGGGCTTAAGGGCGACCCAAGCGATGACTTCTCCTTCCCCAGCTTGTTCCCAGATGCCATGCGGTAATTTTGAATTCCGTTGTACTACACTGGCAAAGTCTGTCCCATTGACCCAGCTTCTGAACTAATCTTTATTGTGTGTGATCCTTGCAGGCCAGTCACAGACCCAGTTGCTAATCTGTTCGACCGGATGCTGTGCGCGAGGTCCAAGCCTTCGGAAATTGCCCTCCCAGTTACCGATCCTACCAAGGCATCGAGAAGAAGGTACGGTTCACACGCAAAACACAGTATAAATGAACCCACAAAATACTAGTAGTGAAGCTGAAAACCCAAAATCATGAGTTCTTGGAAAACATTTCATTGTTCCAAAGCTCACGAGCTCTATTCTCACCATTGCAGGGAGCGTGGCGAGAGGGTTCTCGAGGAAAGGATGGCCGCGGATCATGCGGCTGACGCCGAAGCCCCAGCTCACTCTGCGGAAGATTAAGAATTTTCCCCTGTGCTACGTCGTCGTAGTGGCCACGGTCGCCTGCCTCCGTGCTTTGTAACTCCTCGGATTTGTGTTCTGGGGAGCATATTCATTTTTACAGTGGACCGATGATATGATAATACTTTACTGCCCCTTTTTTTGTTTCCTTGTTTCGAGAATATTGGTTGGTTAAATTGTGTTGTAGTTCCTGATTACAGTGAGGAAAGAAGAAAAAGGGCGGCATCCCCTGCCCCCGATGTTGTAATGTAGAAAAAGAATGACTTGTCAGTAACAATGTGAAGTATTTTTTCCAAGTGAACTGTGATTTCAGTCGAACAATAATAGCTTGGATGGACAGGCAGTAAACTAGATGTGTTTGTGATCCTGCCCAAAGAATTCGGATCAAATTGGTCTATATAATCAATTCTCCCTGAGAATTTATGTGTGATCTGACCTGAAGGCATACTGGCAAAGAGATAAGTTTAGAAAGTAGTTACTGCAGATTATGAAGAAGAGTGTATACAAATCCGTAAATACACCCACATTAAAACGCCACAATTGTTGTGCAGATCGATTTCTCTTAACTTTTGTCTTATATTCTCCTCATAGTATCAAAAGCTGATGGTCAAATGAAAAAAAAAATATGACTGAGCCCACGAATGAATATTAGTCCATTGCGAACAATTCCAATGTCAGTCTTTTGTGTGCTTGTAAATTAATGTGGAAAATTATGAGTATCGTGCACTACCTAGAAAAGAGGTTAGTTCTTAAAACTTTGCTTTTCAGGAGCCACAAAAATTGTAATTTTTTTCAAGGTACAAAAAAGTTATTTGCTCAAATGAAAAATTACAAGCACTTGGACAGCATGCACACTCTATGCAAGTGATATTTTTGTGACTTTTTTCTCTCATTTTAATTTTCTTCATGAGTTTTGTTGTTCATTTTGATTCCTAGGGCCATTTCGCAAAGTTCCTGGATGTATATACACCCTATATAGAGAAAATAAAACTAATCATTAAATAAAAATTAAAAAATCTGAAAATATTTTTGAAATAAACTTGGCCTTCCCTTGTACTTGTAAAACCCCGTTGAGCTTAGGGCAAAATACAAAAAAAGATCTGCCAAAATAGTATGAATAGTGACTTGTAATAGCAGCATTTTTTGTTTTTTTCCTGATGTCAACGGCGGTTTTTTAATCATTAAAATTTATATACCAGTACAAAAGAAAGTCAAATTTATTCTAGAAAAACTTCTAAACTTGTTTGATTTTTTTCTTAAATTTTCTCCCCATATCAGGCATATATACACATAGGAACCAAGGGGCAATTCCCCCGTCGCGCCTCTCTATAAAGTTGAAAGAGGGGAGATAGCAATGATTAGACATACAAAAGATAGTGCAACATCCAAACCATGCATGTTTTCATGCTGATACATGACAACGAAAAGAGCAGAATGCAACATTTTACAAGTCGATTGAATGAAGGCGGGAAATGTTAACTACTCCCTTCGTCCGGGAAATGTACACTGGTTTTTTTGCGAAACAAACCTCGTAATTTTAAAACAGCAACAAAATAGGTCCTTCCCCCTTCTTCTTCCTTTGTCCGTCCCCGCGCGTCGCCAGTGGCCGTCGCCGTGGGATTCCGCTGCCGTGCTCCGGAGGTCGCAGCGCTCCCGCGACCACCCGCCGCCGCCCACTCCCTCCACCAGGTGCCTGCCTCCGCCGCCCATCGTCGCGACCACGGAGGCGAGTTGGTCTTCAATCCGAGGACCAGCCGGCGCCCCGCCACGCAATTCCACCGCCCGGCCGCCGTCCACCGGTTCGACCAGCCACCGCGTCGCCGCCCACCGGCGAAACTGCGCCGCCTACCTCCTCTGCCCACCTGCGGCTGCTCCGCCGTGCGAACCTGCGCCGCACGGAGGTGAGCTGCCTGGCCGCCCACCTGCGGCTGCTCCGGCAAGGCGACCACCTCGACGGGCACCTCCTCCTCGTCTCCCTGCTCGCGTCCCCGGCCGGTTCCTCACGCCCGCGGCAACTCCAGCCGCCGCTGCCAACCTCGGTCGCCGCTCCTCTCTCCGCTGACTTCGGCAGGCAGTGCCTCGCGGATCTTCCCCGCCTCCCCGGCAGCGAGACGACCTACAGACCTCTGCAGCTGCTGCCGCTGCCGCCTGCCCAATCGAGTCCCCACCCTGCTCCTGCTGTTGGCTACTGCTGATCGCCTCTGCTGCTGCTGTTGGCGACTGCAGGCAATTGACATAAAAAAATTCAGTTAGCTGTTGGCTTCTGTAGATTGATTTATATTTCCAGTTACAAGCAGCAGGTTCTTATCAAATGAAACAACATGATCTACAGATTGATCTGTAATGGCAGAAACTGAATAAAACAGCAGCAACAAGATCATCAAGCATCTTCTTATCAAATGACTGAATATTGTCAGCTGGAGTTCTAGAGCATTAACTCTGTGTATGACTGAATATTGACTGAATTCTGTGTTTGATCAAATGATTGTCAAGATTTATGCAAATGAAGATCACAGTAAGATAGCAGTATTGATGTACTCTGAAATTAACAATATTGAGTACTCTGAAATTAACAACAGCTTTAAAAAACAGAGAGACAAGATGTAGGGTTTTGACAGTAAGAATAAGAATGAAAATTCAGTGAGTAAAACATTCTGAATTTTTACATTGAACATTTCTGAATTACTAATTCAGTCTGAACATGTCAGAACATTTCTGAAATCAACTTGAAGCTTCTTGCATCTTAATTTTGCATTGAATTTATTTGTCATACTTAGTGGAAACTGAAGATTGTTCCTAAACTGAAGATTATTTAGGAACACACTTATTCCTAAACTTGATGTTGATTCAGGAACAACAATCTTCAGTGAGCGTATAAAAAATAACTTGTTCCTAAACAATCTAAATCTTGGTCATTTTGTTGTTCTAAACAACTTAAATTTGGTTGATGCCAGCTTACCGGTATAGAAACAACATACTGATGTACCTGAACCCATGCAAGATATGCCAAACTTGCAAATGGGCAAAAACCTACTACACCTACATTGTACCCATGGGCATTTTTCAGAAGTCGTGATGTTTTCAAACATCAGAAATTTATTTGCAATAGTAAGTTCCGATTCGCTTAATTTTGTCTGGGAGCTACAGCCAAGAGTAATTTGACTGAGTAAGAGAACTCAGTACACTGTGTACTCCAAATTTTCTACTCCTGTCAGTCCAACAATGCAAAGTTCAATTTTCTACTCCTATCTGGACTTAGTAGACTAGTGAATACCCCTACCAATAAATCATGTCAGGTTCATCAGGAAAATTCCTGGAAGTAGGATGATAAAATGTGTGGTTCTGAACTCGAAAATTATTCAGGTGTGGTTCTGTCCCTTTTTTCAGTTACAGCAGAACTTGAATCTAGCAGTCTGAAGAGTTTTGAAACAATGACAAATGACTTGATTGCAGTCTGAAACAAATGACTAAATTACTTGCCACATCATGAAACAAATGGCCAAGTGTGATCCCCTAGTGAGATTTGTCTACCATGTTTTGGTGTCTGAAGAAATACCAGTTGCCACATCATGAAACAAGTGTGATCCTCGCAGTCTTAAGCAAATGTCAGAAACAGCAAATTTCAGTAAAAAAATCAGTTTTGACACATAAATCATGGAGGGTAATTGAAGGAGGGAGGCTTAACCTGCCAAGAAGACGCCACCGCCGTCGTCGAGCTCGCAGCATAGTATGTGAAGGGATGGTGGAGCTCGCAGTAGCAGTACAGAAGACGTCTCCGCCGCCGTCGAACTCGCCATCGAGCTTGCTGTCGTCGGGCTCGTCGGCTACGTCTCCTGCCGTCTGGCCTCGCAGCCACCATATCAGCCTTGCCGACGCCGGATCTGAAGCAGCCGGAGCAGAGCGCGGAGGTCACTAGGGAGGGGGAAGCTAGGGGAGGAAGGCAAGCTGGAGCTGCGCGAGCAGGAGAGAGACGCGGAGGAGGCAGTTACGGCGGCGGCAAGCTGTGGCGGTGGTGGAGTAGGGCAGTTGTGGCTTCTGTCGGAGGAGGTCGGAAAAATCGATGCTTCTCCTCGCCCGGGGAAGCAACATGGCGGAGGAGGAGGGGAACAAGGAGGGGGAGCAGAGCAGGGACCTTCTTGCGCGGGGAATCTCCGGCGACGCCAGCAGAAGCTTCTTGGGGAGCCGAGCAGAGGGCTCCGGCAAGGGAGGAGACGAGCAGGGGGAGCCGGCGGGGAGAGGAGCGGAGGTGGGGGAGTTCGTCGTTTGTCGGGAATACACTGAGGAGGTTTTCGTATAATTGACACAAAGACAACTTTTCTCGGATGGAGGGAGTAGCAAACAAAGGCTCAACAATGTCGACTTTGGCTTCCGTTAGTTTGTGTATATAAAGTATACCAGGTGTCGCCTCTAGCGAAAAAAAACACATTTAGAGCGGGTAGGTCATGCCGAGGTTGATGTGACGCACACCTTCAAAAGACTGAGCCGACATATCATCTTGAAATTTACGAAGTCATCGTAGCCACCTCGTCGTCGACGGGAACGTCTCCTCCCACTAAATGCGCATCGCCGGAAATCCTGAAATAAATTCAGGAATAAATGCGAACACCAGGATTTGAACCCTAGTGGACTGGGGATACCATAGTCCCTCTAACCATCCAACCACAGGTTGGTTCACTTTATGTGCCTAATATGAGTGATTGTGACTGTACTGATGTTCAGAAAAATGTGCTATAATTTTATTTATTTATTTATAGATGAGAACAATGTGGTTTTGGATCAGACGGTTGGACTCAGGGCCTAGACACCAACTGACCCGTGGGCCCGAGGCGTCGGGTGTTAAGTTTTAGGGTTTCCTCTTCCTCTCTTTGGCTCCCTGTCGCCTCCCAATACCAATCCCCTGCTCTCCCTCCCCCACTCCGGCGGCGGCGGCGGCGTACCCTAGCGCGGAGGAGAGAAGGAGCCGACCATGGCGACGATCGTCAACACCACGGAGGAGGAGCCGATGCTGGCGGTGGTGCGCTCCACGGCGGAGCTCGCCTGGGCTGACGCGGGCGCCGAGGT